TTATCTCCTACTACCCTTACCCCTGCCTGCTGTGTCAATGGAAACCACCTGGGCGCAGTAAGGAGGAACTCTTACCCCTTCAAAACAGGGATGTATTAGTGGAGGCCTAGTGATGAGTTGGAACCCCTGCACAGCAGTGGGTGTCAATGGAAACTAAGTAGAGAACTTGAACTTCTACCCCATATCTGACAGTAATCAGGCAATGACTCCTACTAGAATATAATACTAGAAGTCTGCTAAAAAAATATTTAAATAAGATTCAGAGTCTCATCCAAAATTCTAGGATGCAAAAATAAATATCACTCATCACAACAAAAACCTACAACTTGAATGAGAAAAAAATTCAACAAATGCCAACACTAATATGACAGAGAGGTTGCAATTATATAACATCATCTGATGTAGATCTCAGCGTATGTAGAGAAAATAGGAGAATTATATTATAAATGGGGGAAGACAAAGAAACTTAAAGGCAGGTAAAAGTTTTTACCCTCAATCTGTTAAATGTCTAAACCAACCATCTTTGTGATGAAATTGTTTTGCATCTTGATTAAAAAGAATTTCCACATGTGATAAAATAAAACTGTACATACATTATATCAGTGTCAGTTTTCTGGTTTTGATGTTGTACTACAATTAAGTAAGATGTAATCATTGTGGAAAACTGAGTGAAGGGCAGATGGACATCTCTATACTATCTTCACAACATCCTATAAATTCATATATATATATATATAATTCATATTTGTAAAACAAAGTTTAAAATGATTACTGGAACTGTTCTAGATGAAAAGAGATTAAAGCAACAAATGTAATGTGAGAACCTTGATTAGATTCTGGGAAAATTCTAATATAGACTTGGACATTAGATGATACAAAATTATTGTTAATTTTCTTAGATGTCATAACAATATTATAGCTATGTGGGAGAATGACTATTCCTAAGAGCTGCACTTAGAGATAACATATAGTGAAGTTGTAATTTACTTTTAAATGATTCATAAAAAAAAAAATGTCTATCTATCTATCTAGACAGAGAGGAAGCAAATATAACAAAACATTACCAACTGAAAAATAAATAAACAGAGGTAAATACTATTAACTGATGGTACATGGAAGGGATTGCATTCATTGTAATGAGGCAAAGTTATGATTTGTTGAGTGTAAAACTGATGATTTGCTTTGTAAATCTTGACTTAAGTCACAATAATTTATTTTTTTTTTAAACAACAACAAAATGACCAACTGTTGACTCTTATTGGGAGGATATACAGATGCTCAATATACTACTCTTTCAACTTTTTTGTATGTTTGTAAGCGTTCATTTTTTAAAAAATTGGAGGGGATATGTGGAAGATAGGTAGATGATAAAGCAAATATAGCAAAATGTTAATTGTAGCATATGCTGTTCTTGTTAAGTGCTTTCAAGTCAGTTCCAACTTATAGAGATCCTGTATAGGGTTTTCTAGGAGCAGCTGGTGGGTTTGAACCACCAACCAGGTGGTTAGCAGTTCCATGCTTATCCTATAGCGCCACGCCCGGTATATTGTTGTTGTTAAGTGCTGTCGAGTCAGTTCTGACTCATAATGACTCTGTATAGGGTTTCCGAGGAGCAGCTGGTGAGTTTAAACCACCAACCTTGTGGTTCAAACCTACCTTGCAATCCAGTGTATTAACCCACAGTGCCACAAATTGGGTGGTTGGTGGTGTGAAGTGCTGTTGAGTTGGTTCCGACTCATAGCAACCCTGAATGGGGTTTCCGAGGAGCAGCTGGTGAGTTTGAACTGTCAACTTTGTGGTTCAAATCGAACTCGCAGGAGAGTGCTTATCCCACAGCACCACGCCAGGACTCCAAATAATTGGGTTTTTAAAAGGAGCTCTGGTAGCGTAGTGGTTACAAATCAGGCTGCTAATCTCAAGGTCAACAGTTGGAAACTACCAGCTGTTCCGCGGGAGAAAGATGAGGCTTTCTGCTCCCGTAAAGATTTACAGCCTTGGAAACCCTGTACAGGGTCCAATTCCACGACACATAACAACAACAACTGTAAAACTCACTAGCTTTTTCTGTATGTTTGAAATTTTTCATATTAAAATATTTGTATTAAAAACTTGAAGGAAACATATCATATTATTTGGCTCTACATTTTCTTTTTTCCATAGCACTTAGTGTTGCTGTGGGTTAGGCATTGGGCTGCTAACCCTAAGGTTGGTAGTTCAAACTCACCAGCTGCTCCATGGGAGAAAGACTTGACAGTCTGCTTCCATAAAGGTTTCCAGCCTTGGAAACCCTATAGGGCAGTACTCTGTCCTGTTAAGGGGATGAACAGTTCTACCCTGTCCTATAAGGGTTACTATAAGTTAGAATCAACTTGACAGCAATAGGTTTAATTTGGTTTTGGTTTTATCACCATTGTTGTTAAGTGCCGTCAGTTGATTTTGGGTTTCCAAGGAGCAGCTGGTGGGTTTGAACAGCTGACTTTGTGGTTAGCAGTCCAGTGCTGATCCTACAGCACCACACCAGAATATATAATTCATTTACTTATTGTATTTCTTTTTATCTATCTCCTCTCATTAGAATGTAAGTGCCATAGGCCAGGGATTTTGTCTGTTTTGCTCTATTGGGTGCTATATCCCCAGATCCTAGAACAGTGTCTGGCACATAGCAGGTGCTTGATAATTAAAGAACCTCTGTATGTCTCATACTTAGTTCAAAGTCTTGCCTAGAGTGCGTGTTCAATAAATGTCGCTCAATTGAACTGAAATCCAAGTTCTGCAGGAGAATTTAGACTAGAACTGTTATGCCATAGTGGTTCAGATCATGGTCTCTAGGGTCAAATGACAAGGATTTGTATTTTGATTCTGTGACTTTCTAGCTGGGTTAATTTCCTTGAGCCTTAATTTCTCATTGGTAACATTTAGAAAATAATAGTACCCCCTTGGTAGAGTTTTTGTTTGCCTTAAAGCACTTGTTAAGTGCCTTCGAATCAGTTCCATCTCCACTGTATAGGGTTTCTGAGGCTTTAAATATTTGCAGGAGCAGAAAGCCTCTTCTTTCTCCTGTGGAGCGATGGGTGGACTTGAATCACCGACCTGTGGTTTGCAGTCCAGTGCTTATATTATGGAGCCACTGTGCTCCCCTTAAAGCACTTGTTGTTGTTGTTGTTAGGTGCACCAAATTGGTACCGACCCATAGCGACCTTATGCACAGCAGAACGAAACACTACCCGATCCTGGGCCAACCTCACTACTGTTGCCACACTTAAGTCCATTGATGCTGCCACTTGGCCAATCCATCTCGTTGGGAGTCTTTCTCTTTTTCTCTGACCCTCCACCTTACCAAACATGATATTCTTCTCCAGCGACTGGTCCCTCCTGACAATATGTCCGAAGTATGACAGACGAAGTTTGGCCATCTTGGCCTCCAAGGAGCACTCTGGCTACACTTCTTCCAAAACAGATCTGTTGGTTCTTTTGGCAGCCCATGGCACTTTCAATATTCTCCTCCAACACCATAACTCAAAAGCATCAATTCTTCTATGGTCTTCCTTATTCACTGTCCAGCTTTCACATGTATATGAGTTTATTGAAAATACCAGGGCTTGGGTAAGGTGCACTTTAGTCCTCAAGCTGATATCTTTGCTCTTCAACTCTTTAAAAAGGTCTTGTGCAGCAGATTTGCCTAATGCAATACTTCATTTGATTTCTTGACTGCTGCTTCCTTGAATGTTGGTAATTGATCCAAGAAGAATGAAGTCCTTGACAACTTCAATCTTTTCTCTGTTGATAAGAATGTTGTTTATTGGTCCAGTGGTGAGGATTTTTGTTTTCTTTACATTGAGATATAATCCATACCGAACGCTGTTCTCTTTGATCTTCATCAGTAAATATTTTAAGTCCTCTTCACTTTCAGCAAGCAAGGTTGTATCATCTGCATATCTCAGGTTGTTAATGAGTCTTCCTCCAATCCTGATGCCACACTTTTCTTCATATAACCCAACTTCTCAGATTGTTTGCTCACCATACAGGTTGAATAAGTGTGGTGAAAGAATACAACCTTGTCGCACACCTTTCTTCATTTTAAACCATTCAGTGTTCCCATGTTCTGTTCGAACAACTGCCTCTTGGTCCAGGTCCAGATTCCTCATGAGCACAATTAAGTGAGGACTTTTTGAAGACTCAAAAATTGATAGCTAAAACCAAAATAACAGATAGAGTCTTCCCAGTATGTCATTCTCCCATCATCCCCCAACAGGCTGAGAAAATGTCCTTTTGTGGATGGTGTTGAGGAGATAGGGTCATGTGTCAGGAACAAGGACAAGGGCTTACCTCTTTCCTTTCTTCCCTTATTAAGGGCTAGGTCTCTGACTGATGATGGAAGGTCAAGTGTAAGATCATGGTCATTACAAGACCTAAAGGTTGAGAGAACAATAGTCCTGAGGAGGTGGTATTGGAAGGAGACCTGACCTTGTGTGCTGCCATCTTCCATGGTCTTCTGTGAGAGACAGCAGCACCTCCTTCACCCTGCTCCTAAAGTCCTTTCAGTTTGTTCTGCTTTCTCAAGTCTTTACTACTAGTGGCCCCAGCTCAGAGCAAACCGTGGGACCCATTGAAGATCTCTCTGCAACTCTCTCTTTGAAGTAGGGTGGGGTGGAGTGGGTGGAGGATCAGTTGAAATTGGGGGCATTGGGGCAAGAGATTGGCGGCAGAACTATCCCATAGTCTAAGCCCCTTTGCCCTAACCCTAAGATAGGGCGGCACTCCCAAGATCTGGGGAGCTGGAGCTGAGCCTGGGGACATCACCGCTTCTGTTCCTTTAAGGAACTGCTGTTTAGCATTCCTGCCGCTACCGCTGCCTGACTCTGTGCCCTGATTGGCTGGAATCAACTGAGAAGGGAGCCAGGGAGAGATGCTCTTGACTCCACTCAGATCCATCCTTGGGACCAGAGCTGAAGCGGTCGGTCCTCGCAGCATCCAGCCTCTATCCCGGCTCCACTTCTTCTTCGCCGCTGGGCCTCGGCCCAGAAGCCACCACAGGCGACACGGAGCCGCCAGTGCTGGAGGGGGAGCCGTGGGTGCGGGGCAGCGTGGGGGCAGAGGCCGCGGGGCGCCCTCCCGGCCCGAGACCCCGCTCAGCCCGGGCGCCCCCACGAGTGCCCCCCCCTTCCTGGTCCGAGCAGTGCGAGTGTGCCAGGGAGCCCAGCAGCGGCGGCGTGGAAGCCGGCGTGGGCTGGGGAGTCCGAGCCGCGGGGGGCAGTGCCATGCACAAGCACCAGCACTGCTGTAAGTGCCCTGAGTGCTACGAGGTGACCCGCCTGGCCGCCCTGCGGCGCCTCGAACCTCCGGGCTACGGAGACTGGCAGGTGCCCGACCCCTATGGTCCAGGTGGGGGCAATGGGGCCAGCACAAGCTATGGGGGCTACAGCTCGCAGACCCTGCCTTCGCAGGCTGGGGCCACCCCCACCCCCCGCACCAAGGCCAAGCTCATCCCCACTGGCCGGGATGTGGGGCCAGTGCCCCCCAAGCCAGTTCCAGGCAAAAGCACCCCCAAACTCAACGGCAGCGGCCCCAGCTGGTGGCCTGAGTGCACCTGCACCAACCGGGACTGGTATGAGCAGGTATGGACCAGCGGAGACGGGGGGACTGAAGGACAATCCATGAGGGTTGGGGAGTGGGTGCCTAAAGGCCTAGGGTACAGCAGGGGGAGCTTGGACTCCAAGCCCATGGACCCTGAACCTTAGTATTGCAGCTGGGCAAAGAGAGGCGGTTGGGAATATGTGATTTTCTTTTTTTGGGGGGGAGTCCCCATTTGGAGGGGATTGGGAGGAATGTATATGTCAGGGAGTGCAGGTATGGCGGAGGGGCAAATTTTCCTGTGTGTGGGAATTGGGTTTGTCTTAGTGTGGGGGTTCAGCAGTATCTCTGTGTCTGGCAGGGGCGGGAGGTTCTGCGGGGGCTGTGTGTGGTGTGTGTCTCCACAGAAGGGGAGGAGGGGGCATGATGCTCTGCGTAGGGGGGACATGTATGCATGTGTGTATGTATGTTGGGATGTGTGGAGGAAGGCAATGGAGCTCTTGTGAAGCTATGTAGAGGAGTCCATGTGTCAGGCTCACTGAGCTTCATCTCTTGATGCCATGAGTCCTTCTCCCTCCCAGTCCCTTTGTGTGTGAATGTGCACATGGATGTGTGGGATGTGGAGGTGTCTCTGTAGATAAGGCTGTGGGGATAGCTGTGTTTGTGTGTGTTATTACATGTATATGTGTTATGTGTGAGCATGTGGCTGCAAATATGTGCATGTGTGTGCCTGTATGTGTGTATGTGCATGTGGTGTCCCTGGTGAGAGGCACTTGACAGGCAAGGGAGGAGAGGAGGAGGAGGCGAGAGGCACGTCCCAAGCAAGGCTGAGGGTTTGCTGAGAAGGACGAACTCTTTTGTCCAAGCAGCTCTGAAGTGTGTGTGTGTGTGTGTGTGTGTGTGTGTGTGTGTATGTGTGTGTACTGGGGGGGGTTGTACTGAAGCAAGCTTCCTTGCTCCAGACCAGGCAGCCAGGCAAAGGGCAGCTGCCCCGATGAGGGGACTGGCCCCAGTGAGACATGGATACCTCCAGATGTAAGAGAGCTTGGCCCCTAAGCCCTGACTTGGCACAGCTTGGGAGCCCCCTGGGTGCTGGGCACAACAACTCTGGCTTCCACTCCCAGCCTAAACTGCCAGCTTAGAAAATGGAAGGAGCATCTGTGGGAGAAGCAGCAAAATGGAGGCTGGGCCGGCAAAGCCAGGTCCTTGGCATGCATGGCAGAGGGCCTGTCTGGTTATCTGGCTCTACCACCCCCAGGGTGGGAAGAGAGGAGAAGGAGGCTTTGCTGTCCAGGGCAAGTGCTGACTGCCCCAAGCTTGTGGCCATTCTGGCCGCCCTCCATACTCCTCTGGGGATAGGATGTGCTCTCGCTGGAAAGCAAAGGTGGGGACTTCCTGGGAAAATAAGTGTTCAATTATGGCCTTCTGTCTGTCCATGCTTTCTGTTTCTCAGCCCCTTGTCTTGGCCCCTTGTCTTCTCCAGCAAGTCTCCCTCTCTTCTTTGCCCCTCCACCCTGGAGCCCTCCCCTTTCAAACACCCTCTCATACTTGACCTGCCCAGCCAGGTAAAAGGTGCCAGTCCCAGGGCTGAATTAGTTGGCCAATGTTTCTTTGCCAGGGCCATCCCTAGATGACTCTTCTACATAGGAGCAGGATCCCTGAATGTGGTGGGAAAGGCTGGTGGGAAGTGGGAACTGGGCTTGAGGTATGACCTGTCAGATGAGGGTACATAAAAGAGGCGCATGGGTGTCCTTTGGTCTGCATGGTACTTCAGGCAGATGCTTTGGCTGTGGGTCTCTGAAGGGTCATCAGTTCTTCCTTCTGGTATCAGAGACTATAGTGGGGTTTAAGCTGGAGTCCTCTCATCAGTTCACAGGACTGTAGGGCATAAAGTTCCGGGGCCAGGCTTAGAAATAGTGGTGGCATGACTAGCCAACCCTCGCTCCTTCTGCTGGGCTCTGCCTCATAAACCAAAGCTGCGTGGGGTGGAGGTGGGAGAGAGAAGACAGAGTAGGGCACACAGAGGAGCCCCTGCCCACTGGTTCTGGCTCTCCTTCCTGAGGAGAGGAGGCCAGGGGGCAGGAAAAGACCAGCGCAGGCAGAGAAAGACAGGAGGAGGGGATGCTGGGATGCCTGAGGAGACAGGCAAAAAGGGCTCCTAGTCATGCCTCCATCCCTGGAGATGAGAGTGGGAGCCAGTGAGTAGGTGCTATTTCTCTGTCCATATTCACTTGACAAATAGCCATATGTGTGTCCTGTCTGGGAGGCCACTTCTGTGGCTTAATCAGACCAACCCACTGTTTCCAATACCTTTCCTTGCTTCTCCTCCCATGGCTATTGCATGTTGCAGGTCACAGGCTCTGCTCCAATCAGTCCAGGGATCAATCATCAGTTTTTCCTCATGGAAAATCTTGTCCATTCTGCTCCTTTCCCTCTCCCGACCAGATCTTGCTCTGACCCTTTCTTCTGGGAAATATGAAAGACTCAGGATCAAAAGCCCCTTGGTAGAAAATGGATTATGACTTCGGCTCCTTCTGCCCATTAGAGGAATTCGATCCTGGAGACATAGAAGGAGGTGTAGGATGAGGAGTCATGAGGTGCTTTGAAGGAGGAAACTTTCCCACGAGCTCTGCTGGGGAAAGGGGTGTGCAACCAAAACATCAGTAGCCTTGGCAGCTTGCTTTAATCAAAAGAGCACTTGGACATCTAGGTTCTAGCCCTGGCTAGAACCTGCTTATTTCCAGTGTGCCCTCAGATGCATTCCATGTCCTCTCTAGACCTCAGTGCCACCATCTGTAACACTAGAGGGATTGAACAAGATGGTGTCTGCTGCTCTTCTGGCTCAGGCTTGGTAGGAGTCTATGATCCCCAAGTCAGGAAGAGACGTGGTACAGAAGGGGAGGGAGGGTCCCTGTTCTGTTCACTGGGTGCCCCTATGGATGCTGGGTACAGTATGGATTGCCCACCATGCTTCTTTTTTGCCATCCCTCTCAGTCCATCTCTGCACCTCTGCTAGTGAACCTTGAGGCCCTGGAACTGAGCCTCTCAGTGAGTACACCACTGACAGGCTCAGTCCCAGATAATTGATCTGGTTTATGTAAACTGTAAGGTTTGGCCTGACATAGCTGGAAGCAATGGAAGAGGGGTGTCTTCTTTGGGGTCAGCCTGTTCCTGCCTGTGGCCAAGAGGTACCCTGGAGGTGGATTTCAGCTTTCCTGCTCTGTAGGGAGTAGGTTGTGTATGTGTGTGTGGGGGGAGGGGGAGCCAGGTTCACCAGGGAGCAGATGCTCTGAGGTCAGTAGGCACTCAGGAAACTGCCTGTGTCTTTCCCTAGGTGAATGGCAGTGATGGCATGTTCAAGTATGAGGAGATAGTACTTGAGCGGGTAAGTCTGGCAGTGGGTAGGAGGTAAGAGGCAAAAAAAAAAAGGGTGAGAACCAGGAGAGGGGAGGACCCTGAACCTTGGTTTCAAGACTCATGGCAGGACCTATGCTGAGATGGAGAAACAGTGGCTTTCATTGGTTACATCACTACATCAATCAATCAACCTACTGGTGATGGTGATGATATGCCGTGGAGTTGGTTCCGACTCATAACGACCCTGTACAGGGTTTCCGAGGCTGTAAATCTTTATGGGAGCAGAACGCCTTGTCTTTCTCCCGCAGAACAGCTGGTAGTTTTGAACTGCTGACCTTGCAGTTCACAGGCCTGGGGAAATGGGGAGGGCATGGGGTCTGCTGAGGCCCCCATACCAAAATGGACAGCATAGGTGGGGAATTCACCCAGTTTGTGACAAATGTGACCCTGCCTGTCATGGCTCTTCTGAGACCTGGAGAACCTCCCCTAATGAAGTAGGGGGAGGTGGGGGTCAGGAATTCACTTTTGTGCCTCCTACGTGAACAGACTGTGCCCCTCCACCCCTTTCTGCAGGGTAATTCCGGCCTGGGTTTCAGCATCGCAGGTGGCATCGACAACCCCCATGTCCCTGATGACCCTGGCATCTTCATTACAAAGATCATCCCTGGTGGAGCAGCTGCCATGGATGGGAGGCTGGGGTGAGGTGGCCTGGAAGGAGGGTGGGGACAGCAGGGACTGGATGAAGATGAGGGGAGGAAAGCCCATCTGGCAGAAGACCCTTCCATCAGATCTGGGAGGGGGTGGAGCAGTGGGAGGTGATGGGCAGAGGACAGAGGAAAAGAGGGAGGGAGGGAGAGAGGAAAAGAGGAGGGGAGAAGATGGGAGAGGGGGTGGAGTGGCCGTGGCACAGTGTTGTGTCTTCCCCTGCAGGGTGAATGACTGTGTGCTACGGGTGAATGAGGTGGACGTGTCAGAGGTGGTGCACAGCCGAGCCGTGGAGGCGCTGAAGGAAGCAGGCCCTGTGGTGCGGTTGGTGGTGCGGAGGCGACAGCCCCCACCAGAGACCATCATGGAGGTCAACCTGCTCAAAGGGCCCAAAGGTGCGGCTGTCTGGGTTCCTGTGCTCTGACCAGAGCTCCTGGCCCCGGGTCTTGGCTGGCCCCATAGGAAGTGGAAGGGAATGGCCTTGCTCCTTGCCTGAGTCCCCCTGTTCCAACTCAGCCTTCTTTCTTGGCCTCAGGTCACACCCGTACTGGTCTATGTTTAGGACCCCTGAGAGAGCTCCTGTGTGAGGCCAATGGGTTGGCTGGGAGGGGGTAGTGGTGTTGGATTTGGGATTGAATGAACATTCTAACCTCTCTTTGTGGCCCCTTCCTACTTCCTGCTGGCTCCCACCCAGGCCTGGGTTTCAGCATTGCTGGGGGCATTGGCAACCAGCACATCCCAGGAGACAACAGCATCTATATCACCAAGATCATTGAGGGGGGTGCTGCTCAGAAGGATGGACGTCTGCAGATTGGGGACCGGCTACTGGCGGTAAGATAGCCTTCATCAGGATGTCCAAATAATAGAGTAAGGAGGTGGATGGAGCTTTAGCAACTTCTTATTCTACCTAAACCTTATTCAGGGACCAGCAGATATCATGAAAAATTTCATGAGCATCATATGAGCCATGCTTACCTAGACACAAAGGCACTGGTTTTCCATGGCTGGGAGGTCCCTCTACTTTCTGCTTCTCTGCTCCTTACAGCACTATATTTGGACCTCTGAGCGCTATTGAATTTCACTGAAAGGGCATCATCCTCAGGGTTCCCTGGAGAGGCTTTCCTTCTCCCAAGACTAGCCCTAAGGCCTCTCATCTTCTAGGTGAACAACACCAACCTGCAGGATGTGAGGCATGAGGAAGCTGTGGCCTCACTGAAGAACACATCTGATATGGTCTATTTGAAGGTGGCCAAGCCAGGCAGCCTCCACCTCAACGACATGTACGCACCCCCAGACTACGCCAGCAGTATGTACCATCCAGCTCTGTCCCTGGCCTGAAGCCCCTGCCCCCTGGTTTTTGGAGGTGAACAGAGAGAAGAGAACGAGTAATTAGGAGGAAAAAAACCCAAACAAACAAAACTGGGTCCAAATCCCAATGCTGTACCATATAGCCTGGTGACCTTGGACAAGTCCCTTTCACCTGGCTTCAGTTTCCTCTGTGGCAGAAAGGAGCTAATGATAAATGTCCTGCCTTCCTTGTAGGATGGCTACAAGAATCAAATGAGATCATAGACAAGAAAGCTCTTCGAAAACTGTGTTAGGCTATAGAGATGTAAGGGATTATTATTAGTCACACCTCTAGTCATGCCTTTCTTTGTAGACTGCCTTGACTTCAGCTCTTTCTAAGACTCACAGGAGTGAGCCCAGGATTCAGAAAGGGACTGTGGAGGTGGAACCATGGGGGGGCGGGTGGTGGAGTGGGGAAAGGAGGCCTGAGGAATTGGCATCTTTTGGTCTCTTTTGGACTTGGGGTGAGGTGTAGGGGGGAAAGTCCTTGGAGGGGGATGGGGTAGGCTGCCTGGAGCAGTCTCTGAACTTTTGTCTCCTTTTCTTGGTTCTAGCTTTTACTCCCTTGACTGACAACCACATAAGCCATAATTCCAGCCTAGGTTATCTCGGGTCTGTGGAGAGCAAGGTCAGCTATCCAGCTCCTCCTCAGGTTCCCCCTGCCCGCTACTCTCCTATCCCTAGGCACATACTGGCTGAGGAGGACTTTACTAGGTAAGACTCCACCCCAATTCATCCTGCCCAGCGATGAGGGAGGAAAAGAATACGTTTCTGGCTGGCCACAGGCATCTTTGTAGTATAGCAAAGAGAATAAGGCCCTCCTCACTCCTGGTTTTGGATATTTGACCTTCTGTTATCCCTTGGGACCCTGGGGAGGGACAAAGCTGCAGGAACAAATTCTGCCATCCCGGGGAGTGCCGAGTGGGTGACCCTGGATCCGAATGTGGAAGGAAAGAATGGGGTCTAATGTTTAGAGGAGTGAGGAATTAGGGGCTGGGGAGTTTCCTGCCCTGAGATATGTGCAGCCCTCCCTACTGCGCTCACGTCAAATTACAGCAGAAAGCAGTTCAGCTGGTGGGGGTGGCGGGACGTTGGGGGTGCTGGCAGGCTTGGTGGCCTCTCAGGAAACTGCCCCGCCCCATTCCAGCGGCAGTCACGGCGGCTGCGCAGCCATGGAACTGGTCTGTCTGGCTGGGGTTCCGGGGGGACAGGTTTGTGGGGTGGGGCCTGGTAGACTGCTGGGCAGACTGCTGTGGAGCCCGGAAGGGTAGGTGGACGGGGAAGATCTGGAGGAGCCATGGAAAAGGCACGCAAGTTCTCAGGCTCCGGCTTGACCCTGGGCTTGGGCTCGGCCTCGGCCTCCGTCTCAGCCTCTGCTTGGAGAAGGGCTTCGCAGAGGTGGGCCTGGCCGCTCCGCTCCCTGCGGTCTGGAGGGGATGCAAGGTAGGAAGAGCGGAAGGCTGTGAAGAAGCGCATCTTAAACTCAAAGACAGTCTCCCAACCGAGATTGCCCTAAGAAAAGAGGAGTGTTTTGATTTGGGGCACCTTTGATGCAAGATGCTTACAAGTGATGGTGGTGGGCCGGGGAAGTGTGCTAGGAGTTGGCTTGTCTGGGTATACACATGCAGCTGTGTATGTTTCTGTTCACAGCTGATACTACAGTGACCCCTTACAGAGGACATCTTTAGACATATTTTGCTTAAGTCATGTTTTGCATTTGCTTGTTCCCTTTCTTCAGTTACGCTCCTAAGTTCCTTTTAGGGACCTGAGATTTCTTTATCTCAGTCTCCCACATTACCTAGCAAGGGTACATGGTGGTGGTGGTGGTGGTAGCTGGAGAATAAATATGTTGTTGGAAGGTAGGAGGGGTTATATTTAGTGGGTGGAATTTTGAGACTGTGGAGGAGCAGTGTAAGTACACAAATTCTGTGGATGGTGGGTGCAATCAATCTCACAGTGGTTGCACTGCCCCAACTGGTTCCCCTTCTTGTGACCCACAGGAGAATTTGGGGAGGAAGAGGACCAGCAAATGGCCTCTAAGATTTGGTCTCTAGAACCCATGGCAGGAGTTTGTTGCCCTGAGAGGGTAGCGGACCCAGGAAGTTGACTTTACCTCCTCAGGAATGAGGGAGGGAGAAGAACTGAAACTTGGCACCTGGCAGAAAACAGCAGCCAAGCAGGTTTCTGGAAAGACCAGAAGGAACAGGGTATCATACACAGGGACTTAAGTCTTTACTCTTTAGGGCAAGTATGGTGCTTGCACCCACAGTAACAACAGTTTATATCTACTTGTCCTGATCTTTCCACTCCTTTCCTTCCAGAGAGCCTCGAAAGATCATCCTGCACAAGGGTTCCACAGGCTTGGGCTTCAACATAGTAGGAGGAGAGGATGGAGAAGGCATTTTTGTCTCTTTCATCCTGGCAGGAGGCCCAGCTGACCTGAGTGGAGAGCTTCGCAGGGGAGACCGGATCTTATCGGTGAGGAGATAAAGGAGAGGTGGGAAGATGGGAACTGTGCTAGTCTTAAAGGGAGAAGAGACTTTGGTTTCTCTAAGGAATGCATCTTGAAATGGGTAAGGGCTAGAGAAACATATTTTCTTTATCGACATCTTTAGTGAGGGGCAGGGACCAAGATCAGACTCATCTTTGTGGAAATAAATGCCTCTTGGTTCTTAACCCTGATTGGCACTTGATCCACACAAAGATAATTACAAGTAGTCTCCAACTTCTGATGTATTCGAGTTATGACAAACCACACTTACAACCAACTGTTGTTTTTTTTTTTGTGTGTGTACTTATCATTAGTAGTATGTACTGCATACAGCATTGCAGCTCATAATTTGCTGATGTTTTCATTCTCAGATATTCACTCACAAAAGTTCAATGTTATGATTTATGTTTCAAAATATTGCTGTATAGCAGGCCTGGTTTACAATGAAGTTGGTGTTGGTGTCAGAAGTCGTGATGGATAGAAAGTTGGGCAATGTTCAACTCTAATGACATACAACAATTGAACTGTGCAGGCACTCAACAGCCATTCCTACTCCGACTTCATGTTTTAGGGCACTGATGCTGATTTCATTGCAAATAGGCCTAAAGCGTGATCTTACTCAGCGTTTTGTACCATCAGAAACATCAGTAGGTCATTTGAAACAGAGTTGTTCAAGTTTCTCACACTGTAACACCTGCTCTGCTTATACCTCCAATAATATGTCCAGCAAAAGAAGTCATGCCACTATAAGTTCTAATCCAAAAAAGGAAGTGAGGAAAGCTCTAGACATGGATATAAAGATGAAGATCACTAAGGCAAACGGTGATGGAAAGAAAGCAAAATATGTATGCCTGGTGTGGTGCTGTGGGTTAATGTGCCAGACTGCAAAGCCATTTGCACTGCAAGGTCAGCAGTTCAAGCTTACCAGCTGCACCTCGGAAACCCTACACCGGGTCGTTATGGGTCGGAACCAACTCGACGGCACTTAACAACAACAACAATGTGTTAAAATATATCTGTAGGTTTATATGTAATGTTTCCAACCCCCAAAGACAAATAAAGATCAGATTTATCAAGATACTTATAATAAAAGTCAATAATAATCAAAACAAAACAAAACAAAAAAGATACTTGACTTACATCAGAACCGATTTATGATGGAGTCCTTGGAATGTCAGTTTGGGACTACCTGTATTATATTAAAAATGTTATATCTTTAGGTCTCTGTCCTTAAGGGCAAGGAGGGGATATTGGGAAAGGCATCCAAGTAAGATTAGGGATGGGTTTCTTATTTCCTTCTCCTAGCTGCTAGGACACAGTACTCCTTTCTTGCTATTGGGGTGGCTCATGGCTCGTCTCTTTGTACAGGTGAATGGAGTGAACCTGAGAAATGCAACTCATGAGCAGGCTGCAGCTGCTCTGAAACGGGCTGGCCAGTCAGTCACCATTGTGGCCCAGTACAGACCTGAAGGTAGGAGAAAGGAGGGTGGAGAGAGATGATTTGGGGAGTTTAGATTTCTACTAAGTGGTGGCTTTTTGCCATCGTATGTAACAAAACCACTTGACCAGGTCCCTTCTACCCTAGTGCAGTAACCTCTTCCTCTCTCATTTTCATTCTGGACAGAGGTTGGTTTGGTCAGCTTGGAAACATCAATCAGGCTGTGTCCAGAGGCTGCTGATCAGGGCTGCAGTGCAGCAGAAGGCCAGCAGTGGGCAGCAGCCTTTAGAAGTTAAGCACAAAGATTGGGGAAACTGGTAAAAGGGGAGGGGAGATTCAGGGCTCAGAGGCTAAAATTCGGAATTGTGTGCCTTGGTACAGGGGAAGGGTAGCTGTTGATTAGCAGAACCTCAAGGAAAAGAGGTCCGATCTTAGAGATCTGGGGCCAAACCCCCACCCTCCACCCCTCATTGGGGGTACTGAAAGATGCACAAGCGCTGGAAAGATGACCAAAAGCTTTTAGGGTAGGGGGCTAGGGGCGGACCCCTTCCCCTGCAGAGGGAGTTCTTTGTATTCTCAGTGAGCAGTACCCAGGTTTGGGTGAGAAAGAGCGATTATGCAAATGAAGGCGTTTGATTGGCTGGAGTCAGCCTAGGCCAGGTGCTGAGGTAAACTGCGGAAAGGCACACCCTAGCCAGCTGGCCTGCGGAGTGGCCATTGGCGGGACAAGTGAGGCCTCCAACAAACGCACGCCCCGCCCCCTGACCCAAGTGGAGGGTGGCGGGTGCCCCTCCTTCTCCCCTTGCGCGCCTCAGGCGTCTCCTCCTCCCTTCCCCCTCCCCCTTCTCCTCCCTGCTCCCTCCTCCCGCGCGCCCCGCTTTGTGTCCGTGGTCTTCCGCGCGGGACAGAGGGGTTGTACGAAGCTTGAGCTTTCTCAAGACTAGACCTGGACTCGGATCCGGCGCCAGGTGAGCTGGGGCGGTCAGTTTCTCCTAGTCTCAATACTGTTCTGTTCTTGGCCTTTCTCTTTTCTAATACTGTGCCCTAACTCTGCCCTCTATCATGAATGCCTTCGAAGCAACCCCCACCTCCAGCCTCGCACGCACAGCCTTCTTTTGGGTCCCTCATGAGCCCCCCTCTCCAGGGCCCTAGTAGTACCGCCTGGGTCTGAGCGCCCCAGCTCTCCCTTCACTGGGCCCTGCCTGGCCTTTACCTCTTTGCCATCATCTCCAATCACACATGAAATGTACTCCCTTGTCGCCTTAGTGTCTCAGTCTTGCCATCATCCTCCTTCCTGCCGG